CGTCAGTGCAACCACCGGTCGTCTTGCCGTACATAATGCCATCATGAAACAGTTTTTGTAATGAATTCATCTTGGCCTCATTCCTCATCTTCATATCATACATAGACTGACTAACTGAGGCCTGCAACTCTTATTTAAACTATGCAAATAAATCCGCGATTGCAGAAATGTCCAAATGAGATGCATCCGACTTAGATCTAGATTTGGATTTTGATTCAGATCTCTGTGAAGATGGCGGGGACCCCGAAGCAGATTTTTGTTTGTTGTTGTTGTTATCCGTCAGTTGGAAGGGCATACCACTAGGGATAGCTATGACTTAGTGTTAAAATTTTCACTTCATTCTGTATGTGTCTGTGGAAACCACAGAATTGGGCAACCATAATGCAGAGGGAATTAATTAACACTCTTTGCCAAAACCATACATAATTTCAACATAATTATTCAACATACGTTGTTCTGTTGTTCTTTCAGATGGCAAATCAGTTTTTGTTTCAGCTGCACAAGCAAACTCACTTGCTGCAGATGATGAGCCCTTATGAAAAAATGATGTCAGATTGTTATTAAGAGAAAACAGCTCATTTTGGAAAAAGGAAACTGTAATATGTGTTCCGAAATGTTTTTCTTCAAATGATCTGTGACATTCCTTCTAAAACCCAGCATGTTTCGAAATTGCAACTGCTAAATTGTATCTTGTCAAAAAACCTGAATACTTTCTTATGTCTTTCCCTTGTAACAGGGATTCAGCAATAAAATATTAAATAAAATAAATAAATAAATAAATTAAATGCTGATGAATATTCAGTGCAGTCATGGACAAGAAGACATGTCCTCAGACAGGAAAAACAGACACTGTTCTTGACTGAAACAATTTAATGACAGTCATATTAAATTATTGAAAATCAACAATGATTGGTTCACTGTCAGTAATGCTCTCTATGAAAATATCGGTTTTGACCAGGTCTCTATGTACAGACAATATTGACAAAGCCAGTGTATATAAATAAGGTCAATCTTCAGAGCCCCTTGCTCACATCGATATAAGTATTTGATATATACATGTGCATGATGACAGACACTCCACTACTAACCCAGAGGATCGCCACACCATACTTACACCCCTCGTAACACGAAAACAAATCTCATATACAAAAAAGGCATTTTTGTCTACAACAAAGATTCTTAAATCAAAAGTACACTAGATGTTTCCAAAGCAGCTGCAAACTAAAGTGCATAACGAAGTAAAATGTCAAATGCAAAAAATAAATCAATTTTGATACAATTGCAAACAGGAAACTTGATGCAATTTCATGGCCATTACTGTCATTTGACAGCATCATCCTAAATAACCTCTCAGATGGAACTGTCATTAAACATATACTACAACAGTAAACATTACCAGGAATATGCGACCTACTTGCTTTGATCGAGAGATGCAAGTTATACATTCTACTGTTGCATACAGCATTAATGTCTTGTTTCTAAACATTGAAAACAGTGTGGACTTTTTTGCCACGGTTGATGAATATCAGTAATGAAACAACTTAAAAACTTGTTGATAATGGGAATGGATATAACGCTATGTGTCATCAGTGAAGCAAACAGATTTCTTTCATTAACATTTTCTACATATCACCATGTCAACATTACCTTTGAGAGATCACACAAATCAACAATTAGTATTCTTATTGACCAATTACACTGGTTTTGCAAACCATCAAGTACAAAAATGCTATACATATGTGAACATAGACACATCACAGATTTAAGTCCAACAAACATTATTGAATTATGAACAGTAATCACCAACACATCAAGAATGATAACAGGGTAACTACTATCTTTGCATACACAAAGAGACACAATATTCACAAATGACAATTGTGTAGATGTCCTCACTGGCATAACAAACTAAACTAGCATTGCCATAATAAATCTACATAAAGGTTATTGATTGCATAACGCAAAGCTGCTACATCAAGTATCCTTGTCTACCCTGCCTGCTTCCACAGACTTCTGGTTACTGGTATGAAATCTAAGTCAACCAGCGTTTGATTTACATGCCATTTTGGAGCATAGCAAGTGGCACACTGAAAAGATTACTGCATGTAAACCATAAATGGCAGCAGTGTTGATTTGATGAATATACCTTCTTCCATTAACCACATGGGTAGCACTTTTTCAAAATAAGAACCACTGCATTTTTGTAAGAGTAATTGCCCTTGGACCAGATTACAAAATATACCCTTTCTCTAAAAACTGGACCATCAGTACTCAGTGTATTCAAGGTATAATTCAGTTACATATTTGGCATCACACGCTATCAAGATACATCACATAATCCCTACCGCATCATATTCACAGTAAGGATTTAATGAGAGAGTAAGTATCATTTTACATCACTTTTAGCAATATTCCATCCTGCAAAGTCTCTTCATCATACAAAGGTTCTCAACAAACATAGCAGTCTGGCATTAACAAACACATTTAGCTGCCTGGCATGTATATATAAGTATATCACATCCATCCATGTGGAAATTTACATCTATATACATTGTTTCAAAATCAACAACTTTTATCATCAATAACTGTCATTTATGAGCCTTGAGGTTAAGCATTACTTCCTCAAACACTTGTTAACGGGTTTGTTTACATGTCTTTAAGCTGATTCTCTAAACATTATCTCATGTATGGATCAGCTGACCTTGTGTTCAGATAGGCTGATTCTCTAAACATTATCTCATGTATGGATCAGCTGACCTTGTGTTCAGATAGGCTGATTCTCTAAAGATTCTCTAAACATTATCTCATGTATGGATCAGCTGATCTTGTAACCAGATAGGCTGATTCTGCAAACCAGTAACCTGAGAAGGAACTATAAAAATCTATGGTATAATATCAAGGTAATATAAACACTACTCATTATGCAATGGCTGACCAGTACTGATGAAATCATTCCAAACATTCAGCCTCTATCAAAACAGCAAATGTTTGAAGCTGTGTTGAGGAGTATCAAGTCAAATATACTCCTCCATTGTATGACAGGTTTGCAGGTCAGCAGAGATGCAGGAAGCTCTGTTTGAATCAAGGCTTTAAACCATAGCTCAAAATTAAACAAAATCAACAACTCAAAGAAGAGGAAATATTTTAACACATTTGTAAACCTGTAGTTGCACATCCTATTAGTGACAAATCTGAAATTTAGACGATGACAACCAAAATATAAAACTATCTGCACTATGGGAAGCAAGGTAATCTGGTCAAGCTGTGTGCTAGCGAAACAATGCTTCAGGTACATTTATACAGTATACAGCCCTCCTGCTGAACAATAACATGTGGGGAAAGGGAATGTACTAATGTATAGGAAAATCTGTCTGGAAATCCTCAAGGATGATACTTGACCTCCTCTGAAAGGAATGAGTGAGTGAGTTGGGTGTAACACTGCCTTGAACATTATCAAGTTATATTGCGGTGTGTCAGTGTGAAAGGAAAGCCTAGTGATACAGATTGACAATCATCATCTTAGTCAAAGTGAGTGAGTGAGTTTAGTTTTACACAGCACTCAGCAATAATCCAGCTATATGGCAGTGGTCTGCAATCCAGTGATCAACAACACGAGCATAGATCTACACAATTGGGACACAATGACATGTGTCAACCAAGTCAGTGAGCCTGACTACCCGATTCGTGTTAGTCGCCTCTTACAACAAGGATGGGTTACTGAAGATAAATTCTAACCCAGATCTTCACAAGTCCTTAGTGAAAACAACCAGCTGGGTGTACTGCTGGCAATCCCAGAAGCCTATTTACGCTTCATGCCAAATTCACTGTAGTTTACTGTTGCTCTATAGCCAACTGATCCAGCTATGACCCCTTGAGGAATGACAGCAAAATGTTCATGTAGATAGTAAACCTTCCTATGAATTCAACCAAAAACATGTTCTGAATAGATGGGTCAACAATCCTGCAAACTAATTAGTTCATTACTACTGGCATTTGTAACAATGACATTCCTGGCACTGGAGGCATGTGAAATTGCCTATCAGTGTGAGTATAGCTACATTGTTTAAATGCCTGTCTACATGCATGTCTGTAACTTGGTAAGAGAATTCCTGAGCTGTATCATGACGTGGCAGTATGTGTGAAGCCTGTTTGATTAGCAGCATGTAGCGTCCTGATGAGAGTCAGCTCTCACAAATACTTGAATGGTTTTGAAGGTAGCCTTTGCTGAACATGCAGCATACACGCAGGTATACACTCAGTATACATGCTTTTGAAACCCTAGGGACCATCCATGTGATATTAGGGGTGGGTGCGAAGAGTGGATATTGAAGTTTCTTTAAAAAATAATTAAATCCAGAAAAAAAATGGGGAAAAAATAAAGAGCTGGACATGTACTAAAAGAAACATGTTGTGAAAATAAGTTATACCGTTATGCTCCTACCTCCAACAAAATTCCAAGCCCCACCCCTTTTTCTACATAGAAGGTCCCTCATAAGCACCTGTATTTTACACACAATGCACTTGGCTACACAATCCTAAAAAACAAAACAAAGCAAAACAAAACATTCTCAAAATATTCACAACCAGTCAGAAATATAGCAACATATGACAGTAACATAAGTTATTAAACTCTTAAAATTATTGCCACAAAATCAATGGTGCATTTGACATAAAACTGTAGCAGGTTGATTTCAATCAATGATATCAAGTATTAATTCCATGTGTATACTCATAGTACATACTCATCTATACAACGCCAGTTACAAACTACATTTCGACACAGAGTCAGGGTCACTGTGCTAAAATTAGTGTTTTCAAGCCCATAGTCATTATGGGCAGTGCATTTCACAGCTTCAGTAAACTCTCGTAGAGTGGACTAAAAAAAAAGCATGTATTACTATTTCTTCACAAAAGGGTGATTCCAGACTATTTTATATAACAAACAGTAGGTCAAATGATCACTCACAAAGCCGTGGGGGACTTAAGGAATAAACATCCAATAACTTCAAATGTTCTTTATTTCCGAATGTTAGTTTCAAAACAAGCAATCACATGTAGATTTAACTGGGAGTGTCTCAATCTCAACATCACTGTTTCACCATCAAGCTACCTTTCCAATTTTCTCTCTAATTAAAATATAGAGATTTTATTTTACTTAATTGCATCATGTGGTAAATGACAAAAAATATAGCAGTGTTCCAAAGCACTTTCTTGCCAGCGTTAGTGTGTATGATTTGAATGACAAGTTTCTCTCAGACCCAGGTCTGCAGTGAATAGCAGTTCTTGTAGCCAATGATATGGCTCAATCAGATCAACTATTAGTCTGGAATCCTAGGCACATCCCTGTATTGTCCAATCAGGCTGATTTAGAATTTTGACTGTGATAGCCAGGAGATGCTAGTCTAATACGACTGGATAGGCAGAAAACTGTAAATATTCGTTTTTGAAACTTAATACCATAAAATATAATTTTCTATGTAGATATTCCCATGCATCTAGTAAATATGCATAGTATTAATAAATTGTTGAATCAAAACCGAGAGGCATAATCCTTAAATATTTTTCAGTTTATTTTATTCAGTCCACTTAACTAGAGTCAGCTGTAACTCTTGTAAACATGTTTGTCCTGACTAGTGTCAGATCCCACATTTTTTCACTGTACAGGAATGTGAATGCACTCATACCTTGTTCATCCATATGCTACATTTCTTGTGCAACTGTCCACAAAACAAATTGCCACTTAAACAATTTATTGAAGTAATGTGCCTCTAATGACAAACAGTAAATCCAAACAGCAGCCATCCTGAAGATTAGGGCTCTGTTCCATGAAGCGAATGTAGCGTTATGACTCTCATATGTCTATGTTAAAAGTATGAGAGCTACAAATCATCCTAGCACTATTGTCTCTCTGTAGAACAGGGCCCTGAACTAACAAGGTGTCACTGAATACATTGACAATGTCACAAGGAGCTATAAAACCCTTTTCCTTCTTGTTGAAATTTGCACGTAAACAAATCTAAATGTTTCCAGATGTATAAATTAATGACTAAAGTTCATTATCTTTTACCCCTCAATGGCATTCTAAAAATACTGATTTGTCAACTTTATACAAAATAATTGTAACCATCCAGAGACTGTCATAACAAACAACAAGGCCACTTTATCGTCAGTCTCTGGGCTGCTGGAGAAAACCCCAGCCTCCCAGTGGCACTGAGAACAGTCCTCTCTGTTCACTTGATCCCACACTGGTCCACACATTCTGTGTGATATCACAACCTTGTTCAAGTCATATCTCACTTTATACACAAGAATATGGCACTGTCGAAAATCACATCCAAGAGCTTTGATATTAACAAACTGAAACCACAATTGTTGCAAATCTTGAGTAGGATCTGTTTCTGAAGACACACCAACACATTGGACCAATCACTGTCAAAACGATGCCTGAAGATGAGGTCAAATCCTTGTCCACACTTGTTACCTCCCTTCATAAACAGCAGTGTTCCGTTGGCCCACATGGTTTTACCCTCAGTGCTGGTATTGCAAGTACTTGTGCTGGGTGTTAAACACGATCTGTAAATCCCTGGTGATGTTTAGTTAGAAGGGCCTCTAACAGACGTAACTTGGCTTTTATTTGCTGGAAATGGAAAACAGTTGTTGCTTTTACAAAGACGGTTTTCAACATTATTGCTATATTTGACCTTAAAAATTCAGGCTAGTCCATAAGTCTGTGACAATGAAAAATCCAATGACATTAGTAAACTAGTAGCATCTGAGGACTTTAATTTTGAACCAGTTCTCAGTGCTTCAATTTCGCCAGAAATTTCAGTGGAAAAAAAATGACATAAAATGTAATCAGTCAACATGTTTTGAGGACAAGCAAAAAAGTTCTTTACGAAGTCTTGAAATATGTCCTTGGCTGTATCAGCATTATAGCTTGGTCAGGTTAGACAACAATTGTCCAAACATTGTTTTATATTGAGATAGCACTTGCCCTCACAAAGCATTTCACGATTAGGTAAGATAGTTCCATCCCTTTAGTACAAGAAGACTAGCAGCAAAATACATTTAATGCATTACATATGAGGGAGTTGATGTATCGCCAGAAGTATCATGTATTTTACAGCCGGAATATGTAAACCTTTGTACAAGCTGAGGTGGTTGTGCCTGCCCAATAGTCCATGCCGGCAATTAAAGATGAAACAAGACTGTACATTGGTCAGATGATGTGTGGCCAAGTCAAGTTTTAATCATTATTAGTTTCATAGTTTATAAGTTTCAATATTAGGTACCTGTATGTATGTGGTTATTGTATACTTTATAGGTGTCAGATCTTAAGTTTACAGATAAAATATAACAAACCCTCTCAGTTAAATGTATCCCTGCACTTATGCAATTACTCAATTAACAACAGCCACCCTACTGGGTCAGGCCAGGTTCTGACCCATGTGCCTGCACTCTGCACAAGCTCCTTTTGTCCTTCTGCCTCAGTTTCTCTGGTCAGCTTGCCACCTATTGTCTGTTTAGTTTTAAAGGTGGCTGTCACATATAACTTGTTGGCAGTCACAGATCTTTCTGGAGGATCAGATAACTACGATTTGGGTTTTAGTGGAACATTTCTGGGATATAATGAGGATTTTATTATTCAGGTCAGTGCATATATTGTATGTGTATATATGGTATTGTATATAGTGTATTTCTTAAAGAAGTGTTATATTAATGCATCGGTGTGTAATTAAATGTATCCCTTGTTTTCCAACCATTAGTACAGTTTGTTGGATTTGTAATTTAAGTGCAATTTATCTAAATTATATCATTAAATATCAACTAGCTATTTACATTAAAAACATGGCGTATGCGGTGGGTAAATACCAGTCTAAACCTAATTAAGCTGAATCATGACTTGTGTAAACCTATAATCGTATGAATCTGGTATGAAATAGTAAGGGTGGATGTGAGATTTGTTGCTTTTATTATAACTTATTTTATATACTATTATTAGTATTATCAAGGTTGTATTTTAACTTTTCTTAGAATGATCCGTGATGGTTGATGATCCTTGACTGCATGAGAGCTTGTGTACACTCATTGCCACACAGTGGTAAGTGTATTTTTTTATCTTGTATGTAATAAACTCTATATATTTTCTTCATGTATATTTGTAATATATTTATTGAATGTCATAAATGATATATGTATGTATGAACACTTTTCATGTTGCTATTATTATTTAAAGATTTATTTATGCTAGTGCATTGTCTGGGTTAGCTGTATTCTAAGAATATATAGAAAGTGTAATACATGTATATGTAAGCCATGTTATGCCTTTATGCTCAAATACTTAGTTATATTTATGTATATTTTTCAGAGTTATTCAAACATTCCTTTTAATGGATAATAAAATGGCTGTCGTCTGTGACCACAAGTAGCGTTGTGTTGTGTGCGCTCCACCCAACCACCAACAGTCACCCCATATCCGCTACTCCAGATGCAGCCATCTAATCCTCAACAGTTCCAGTTTGAGAAGTCTGTGTATCTCAAACTTGCTTATAGACTTTTACACACACCTTATATTGGCTATATTCTCCTTGCATTGGTGATCTATCTTCCTTCTGCACTCGTCTGCAAAACAAATACATAAAAAATCCATTAGGACCTCCACCTTTCACATTGATGAACTTAACTGTGCTTATGGTCTACGTAAACAATACTGCACTGTTGGCACAGATCACTTACCTCCCTTGCTGAGTGAGAAAGTCCTCTTCGAATGTCCGCAAGACTTTCCGTAATCTCTTTTTCTCTATTTTTGCTCTCTGAACTTCATCCTGCAGTTCAGGTCTACAAGAAAACAATACACAGTGTATTCTCATATCTCTACAGAGAATACCTTCCAATTATTGTACAAATGATTGGGGAACTAATGAACACGATAATGTCCTCTAAAGCTCAGACAACAGATTTTATGTGTACATGATTTTCTTGCTGTCGGTCATTATCTATTTGACAGTTATAACCTATGCAATTACACGGAAGTCAAATATGTCTAATTTATATACTTTATCTGTAATCTCCTTACATGGACAAGTCGTTCACATTGAAGTCGGTCGTTTGTGTGTCATCTTCGTCCTCAGAGTCACTCTTTTTATTGGCTGTGGACAGCTTGTTCTTGTTGTACCCTATATGTCGGCCCGTCTCACGTAGGATGGAGAAGTCCCGTGTTACAGCAAACTCCATTGTTCCTAGATCACCAATCTCATCTGAGTCAGGGCTGGATGTTGGCACTCGAATAACATTTCTCTGTAATGAAAGAAGTCATCACTTTGTAAATCATCAGAAAGTCTCCTAGTCCTAAGATGACTAAAAATACCAGTTTTATGCCATGTTAGACAAAATTAAAAAACTGACAAAACTTTAAGCGTGTTGTTGCAGGTTATTCATTTTTTTTTATATCATGGCTGAAAAGAGAGGTGGGTTCTAATATGTTTGGAAGAGGATGTGAGTGTGAACAGTGGAAGATTTACACATATTAGTTGGAGGAAGAAAGCCTGTAGTTGTCATTGGTGACACAGTACACCCTGGGGTACAATACATCACAATCACAGTTCACAACCAACTGAATGAGGCAGCTAAGGGAGATAACCCAGCACAATCAGTTACAAAGCCAAACACCACCCTTCTCTCCTCAGTGTATCATGCCTTATAGCATCTACATATCTGAATACAATTAAACCATGGATCCAGACTTCAAAACTAGACATCTGAAAATGTGTCAATAGGTTCTTTCAGCTTTCCATTAATATTCTGGCATAACATCATTGCTATTCTAGCAGCAATGTGAAGTACTTACAAACTTGGAAGTGGATGTTGTTGTTGTACTAATCTGCATAGGCTGATCTTCAGGCACAGTCTCCAGATCTATGGTATTGCGAGGCTGGAGAAGAAACACAATGGACCTTAAATACTCTGTAAAACAATGACTGACAACAAAGCCTGAAAATAAGCTCTCTCTATAAAGCCAAGGGAGTGTGTTTTATCCCACTTTATAACACAAGAAAACACTAGTCATTTAAGTGGGCTCTCCGTCCAATATAACACTAGTATCGGTATACTACTCCCTGAAGTGGGCTTCATCCCCTCTATATAACGCCAGCGTCAAACTAGGTTCTTGACACGCATTTAACTACTTCTCACTACAAAAGGGCATTATTCCCAACATAACACTAGAACAACTACTCACTGAAGTGGGTTTGGCCAGAAGCCTCTTGATAGATCGGTACCGGTCATACAATGGACGCATCAGATCTTTCTCATTTTTGGAACTCTAAAAACAAAAAATAAATGATACAATGTGTTCCACGAGATGCACTAGTGCATATTTGAAACATCAGAAATCATGTGAAGACATAAAACCTTTGTGGACAACACCTGTAATGTCAAGGGCTACTGCTTGCCTTCACCTGATGATGGGGCTAAAAGTAGCTGTGAAATGCGGTAACAAATAATGAAGATATCATTATCCATTACAGTCCTCACAAGTTTCTCAAACATTTAAAAGGTTATAAAATATTTGGTGTTTAGAAATATTGCCGCCAACTCACCGGCCGACCATGGATGCTCTCAAAGTGAAGTAAGGCCTTCTGGACAGCCAGCTTTTCTTCTAGCACCTGCTCATAGCTCATCATCTGCAAAACCATTCAACATCATAATCCTCTCTGTCGCATTTCTATCTAATTTCCATATTCATGAAATCCTTGCTTTAGATGTTCATATAAAAAAGCCATTTCCCAGAATCTTCTTCTTATCTTTATGCAATTAGATTTTTGTTTTCTTACAAGGGGACACATACCCATACTTGAAATGATACTGGGTTATCTAATGACATGTAATGTCATCATAATCTGACAACCCATTGCTTCCTCTGACTCTTTTCACTACACAAGAGTACCTGTCACCACTTGAAGATACTTGTCCCTATTGTCCCGGAAGTATCAGCTGTATGTACCTCGGATATTTATTACCATGAGATCAGTGTCACACGTAAATTCAATATATAACACTAAGGGACTCACAGAGATCTCCCGTGGACGCTTCATCTCACGTCTCTTTTCTTGCAGGTTTTTCAGGATGATATCAAGGGTGCCTTCAATCGATGGTGGCATTGTCGGGATGATGTCACCACGTTCCCCGGATGATGATGCCCCGCTACCGTGACGACTTCGACTTCCCATCTCAGCCTCTTCTTTTAATTCTACACATAAAAACATAAGTCAATACTGCAGCAAAAGAATCTCACTGATCAAAAACACCAGCACATAATTAATCAACATGGTTTAAATGGACAATAAGCTATGGATGATTTCAATTTATTCCAGAAAACTGACAGCTTCAATACAGCATGACAATCACGAACATCTCATAATATTAGTTACTCGGTGTTTCTAAAGGGTCTTACAGTCCCGTACACCCTTTCAAAACACCGTGTGATGAATGTATTACCATTAAGATCTTTTAATTCAGCTTATCTTTGAACAACATTCAAATTTTGGCAGAATGAGACGCAAATCGTTTCGCCATGATTTTACCTGAATGATCATAAAGGGAGATAACTTGGGATGGCTTAGTTTATGATAAAAATGAACGAATTTGAGGTTTCGTTAAGTGAAATACAGAAACATTTTATTTCATAGATATATTTATTGACACAAACAAATAAGAAATTATGGCAAAACTTTTATTTCTGTTTATACTCATAATTGTATATGCCAACTCTAAAATTTCGAAGCGATAGGGATCAGCTGTTTGGCAGCCCCAGTCAGCTATCTAACCCACTCAGCTACCAATGGTGTAAATGTTAAGAAGTGTGTGCATACTTTTCAGTTCCTTCCTTGCTCGAGACAACTCTGTCATATATTTCTTAACCTCTGTGTGGGCAGCCTTGTCATGATGAGACGGCTGAAACAGCAATATGAAAATGATATGATGAATCATTGTTACATTTTCATTGCAACTGTTTTCTGTAGTGAGCAGAAGACATCTTCTTCAGGAGAAAAGCAAGTGGTTACAAAAGATGGTCATGGTTAACAACATGACGTGAGGCAAGAGGTTTAGAAAATCAGGATTAGAGAAAAGAAAATCCTTTTTGACAGTCAAATATGAAATAAGTGCCAACCAAAAGATGTATTTCAACAGAAAATGTAATTAGTCCTTCTTGAATTTTACTAGTCTTGTACTTTTCTTTTTGTACTTTTCTATTATAATGAAGCCCCTGAGCTCAATTTTTTCCAGTGATAGTATTTTGCAATGAAAAGTCCAAAAATAGCAAGAGATTTCTGCTACAATTCTTGCCATGTACAAAATAGGCAAAGTCACAAAATCTCACCCTGTAGCCATGTTCCTTCTCAAAATTCTCATCAAATATTTTGATTCTTTTCTTCAACACTGAAATATGAAAAAAATAAAAATACATAAAAACAAAGTACTTTCTGACAAGTGACAAAACACAAATATTTAACATTTTCTATTGTGACATACTGAAGGTGTCAACTACTTACATTGGATTCTCTTTGTGAGTTGCCTGAGCTTCTGACTGGACTCATCATCAGGTCTGAAATAAATTACATTAAAAAATCAACAAAAATAATAAATATACACCTCAAATTCAAGTTCTGTCTGTAGGTTTGTGTGCTCATTGCTTAACGCCACACTCAGCAATATTCCATGTACATGACATAGGTCTGAACATAATCAAGTCTGAACCAGACAATCCTGTGACTGCCATCAAGAGAATAGATACTGTACTTTGTGCCCCCCACTGAGATGCAGTGCTACCTGGATATCCCTGATAGTGAACATACCCATGTTTCTTGTACCGACCCCACCCTAGGATAGTGAACATACCCATGTTTCTTGTACCGACCCCACCCTAGGATAGTGAACATACCCATGTTTCTCGTACCGACCCCACCCTAGGATAGTGAACATACCCATGTTTCTCGTACCGACCCTAGGATACCCTAGGATAGTGAAGTGAACATACCCATGAACATTTTTGCACCGACCGATCCCACCCTAGGATAGTGAACATACCGACCCACCCCACCCTAGGATAGTGAACATACCCTAGGATAGTGAACATTTTTCTTGTACCGACCCCACCCTAGGATAGTGAACATACCCATGTTTTCACCCTAGGATACCGATACCCACTCTAGGATAGTGAACATACCCATGTTTCTCGTACCGACCCCACCCTAGGATAGTGAACATACCCATGTTTCTCGTACCGACCCCACCCTAGGATAGTGAACATACCCATGTTTCTTGTACCGACCCCACCCTAGGATAGTGAACATACCCATGTTTCTTGTAAAATACCCCCACCCTAGGATAGTGAACATACCCATGACCACCCCACCCATGAACATACCCGTGTTTCCCACCCTGATAGTGAACATACCCATGTTTCGTGATCGATCCCACCCTAGGATAGTGAACATACCCATGTTTCTCGCACCGATCCCACCCTAGGACCCTAGGATAGTGAACAGTGACCCCACCCTAGGATAGTGAACATACCCATGTTTCTCGTACCGACCCCACCCTAGGATAGTGAACATACCCCCAGTGAACATACCCATGTTTCTCGTACCGACCCCACCCTAGGATAGTGAACATACCCATGTTTCTGTACCGATCCCACCCTAGGATAGTGAACATACCCATGTTTCTTGTACCGATCCCACCCTAGGATAGTGAACATACCCATGTTTCCACCGACCCCACCCTAGGATAGTGAACATACCCATGTTTCTCGTACCGACCCCACCCTAGGATAGTGAACATACCCACCCTCCCCCCACCCTAGGATAGTGAACATACCCATGTTTCTGACCCCACCCTAGGATAGTGAACATACCCACCCTAGGATAGTGAACATACCCATGTTTCTCGTACCGACCCCACCCTAGGATAGTGAACATACCCATGTTTCTTGTACCGACCCCACCCTAGGATAGTGAACATACCCATGTTCTCGTCGCATGACCCCACCCTAGGATAGTGAACCCATGTTTCTCAGACCGACCCCACCCTAGGATAGTGAACATACCCATGTTTCTCGTGCCGATCCCACCCTAGGATAGTGAACATACCCATGTTTCTAGGATAGTGAACCGACCCCACCCTAGGATAGTGAACATACCCATGTTTCTCGTGACCGATCCCACCTAGGATAGGATAGTGAACATACCCATGTTTCTTGTACCGATCCCACCCTAGGATAGTGAACATACCCATGTTTCTCGTACCGACCCCACCCTAGGATAGTGAACATACCCATGTTTCACCATCCCACCCTAGGATGACCCATGTTTCCCACCCTAGGAGGATAGTGAACATACCCATGTTTTCTGAACATACCGATGTTTCCACCCTAGGATAGTGAACATACCCATGTTAGTGAACCACCCTAGGATAGTGAACATACCCACTCGTGTAATTCCACCCTAGGATAGTGAACATACCCATGTTTCTCGTGCCGACCCCACCCTAGGATAGTGAACATACCCATGTTTCTTGTAAATCGACCCCACCCTAGGATTTCGTGTACCGACCCCAACCCTAGGATAGTGAACATACCCATGTTTCTTGTGCCGACCCCACCCTAGGATAGTGAACATACCCATGTTTCTCGTAAACCGACCCGACCCCATAACCGACCCCACCCTAGGATAGTGAACATACCCGTGCTTCTTGCACTGACCCCACCCTAGGATAGTGAACATACCCATGTTTCTTGTATTGATCCTGCTCCACTGGGGGTGATGGGGGGATGTCTGTGTTGATGGCCACACTGGAACAACACAGAGAAATAATGCAAAATGACATTAGAGAAAAAATATCAAACATTCCAATTTCGTTTGAATAATTACGTACACTGGAAAATAACATTGTCTCCAAATTTAAAATGATAAACAAAAATCTAGTTGGATGAAAACGTTACTGATTTAACGTATATGTATATATAAACATTGTGACATTATGTATTTAGCTATAACATTACTGGAGAGCAATCCTCCCGCCTGACCACAGCACCCTGCTACACACCATCCACCAGGGAAGCAGAACTGAACATGCAGTGAAGCCTGTTCACGTGTACATACATCTTACCAATGTGCACACCAAGACATGACAGGTCAACATGCATGGCCTCTACCATCACATCAACACTTACTGCCCACGGTAATACAATTACAATCAAATTTGCATAAAATTGTCCATATTAGTTCTGAAATACCTATTATTTAAACAAGAATGCTTGTAATGTTATTTTGAAATTCTAATTTTTGGCATAATTAAGCTCATTTTCCAGTTCTGAAATTCCTAGTTTGTCTTAACTCTCCATTTCAGTTATATCTCTAGATGTTTTCAAATGTGAGTGAGTGAGTTTAGTTTTACGCCTCACTCAGCAATATTCCAGCTATATGGCGGTGGTCTGTAAAAATAATCGAAGTCTGGACCAGACAATCCAGTGATCAACAGCTTGAGCATCGATCTGCACAATTGGGAACCGATGACATGTGTCAACCAAGTCATAGAGCCTGACCACCCGATCCCGTTAGTCGCCTCTTACAACAAGCATGGGTTACTGAAGATCAATTCTAACCCGGATCTTCACGGGTTGTTTCCAAATGTGCCAGTAGTGATAGAATGTTAATCCTCAGTTCATACTGTATAATTGCTACTCAGTATGAAACTGAACTCTTGATAGTGAAGCCCATCTGATTAATTTCTATAGATAAAAGGTACTATGACAGCCAATAGAGAAGATGGAGAAAAGCCTTGTCATAATATGTGAATGTCAAATCCATACAAGAACAGTGTCAATCACATGCAATACAGGGTGACAGTGACCAAGATGCCATGTGGAACAACTTCAGTTTCAATCTTGTAAACCTTCCCAACATGTAAAGTGAAACAAAACACCGGATGAGAATATGGACTTGTTTTACACACAGATGTTCTTCAACACATTTTCAAACAATTTGCATTGTTTTGTTTTCTTACCACCAGAAAAAAATGTTTGACGAAAATGTAACCTGTAGATAACCCCCTTCTACACACTGATCTTTCTGGTCCTGAAAATTTGGCTTATCTAAGGTCATATATGGTACCCATTATAACACTACATAAATTCATTGTTGGTTCCTAATTCCGTGCCAATACTAATGCAGAAATGCCTGTTAATTCTGATTCTGATATTTATGATCACAGTCTCACTACTGATTTGAAAACAGAAAAGCTTGTCAATGTGTATTCTGATATGTAGTCATTATTTTGTACAAGCAAGTCAAGCAAGAGCCAATGCAAACCACACATAAACCCTACACCATAGACATGTCACACTATCATATACTTTTAGCTATTTGGCTGCTAGTTCCATGTGTACTAAGTAACTGTCTCAGAAGGAACCTGGTAGAAGGCTTTCATCTTGATAAGGTTGTCCTTTTAACATGGGTACCAAATGAATTTGTTGTGAAAGTGCTGTTTAGTGTCATAGCATTTAACATACTAGTAAACAAACACTGATGAATCAAGGTGTTATTTGTGAAACCACACTATGAAATTCAACATGAGTGTAACGCAGTGCTAATTGTTACATGAAGATGCTGTGCTATAACTGTCTTTCTACATGAGCTATTAATATGAACTACATCATACAGAGAATTGCATTCTACATCCAGCAAGGAACGAGATGTGACAATCTGATAATTGATGACTGATATCACAAGCCAAATATATCAACCAAGCAGTTGTATTGATCTAAGAATATTGACCAATCAGTGAGAGACAGCACAGGTGATAAAGACAAAGCATGTTGGAGGTAGTGCTGGGAGGGCAGTACAGCACAAGCTGACCACTTCAACATTAGTACAGGTGCAGGCCTACAAATTGTAACTAATATACAGCTATGAAGTTCCTTCCCTTAACTGTTTAATATTCATATCAGGGAGATAGGTGTATCTATTCATTGTTCCTTGAAGAAATAAATGTTTCCAGTGAAAAGAATATTTATAATTTGCTTTTAAGCTTGACAAACCTATTACAAACTTGAGTCCCACATTTGAGATTATAGGCTTACATAAAAATCTGTAGAATTACTACTGTTCTGGCCAAAAAATGATAATATACAGCACAAATTTCTATAAGAAGACTAGACTGAAATTTGTTGGATGAGGCCATAAAATCCTCCAAAATGGTCTAAATTAAGTTTGAAGTGGTCAGCTGTCAACCTCAGAGTCGGTGATCACCTCTCGTCTGGGAAGGACATTCTGGCGCTGGGAGAAGGAGGCGCTTCGTTTTTAGCGTCCTCTTCGTCGCTAGATGCCCAGCTGTGCAATCATAGAAGAGTATGGAATACACAGGTCTATAGCTACAGCAGTGAAACATTTATAGCTAGTGTTCGTTCCAACAACGAGTATAGAGGAAACAGACTCATGAATTTCAACTTTTGTTTCTTCCAGGTGACATTTTAGTGCAGACACCTGACAACAGCACAGAAAGTGTCACGTGCTGATATCTGGACTGAAATGTCATGTGAAAAGAATATGAAAGTTCAAATCCAATACTGTCTCCATTGATAAAACAGCTTCTTAAATACACTACTTCACAGAGTAACTCAGGTATACATCCTCTGGACGGGAGGGCATCCTCTGGTTGTACACATTGTGTTGTGTGTTAGCTAGTTATCACTCATGAAAATACTAATCAGTAAGAATGAAGTCATGAATCAACCTTAAATGTCTTTCAAGACTTTTTCATTAACTTCATGAGCCTTGTAGCGAATTTTGTAGCTGATCCTGCTAGAAAGACACAACCATGTTTACTACAGTTTAGGGATAGAAACGCTATGTTTTCATAGGGTGCCACTGGGCACCTGACAGATAATGTAGGTGTGTCTTTGTGAAAATAAGTGTGCCCAATTGAATTGTCATTTCAAATTATTGTGAATATATCAGTAAACTTGTAAACTTGAGAGCTGGATTTCGTGAACACTATCATGACAGCAAGAATAGGTCAGCTTCATTTGTCCTGGACCCATAAACTAACCCACAAACTATGTTATCATCCAACAGTATTTCCTGTTGTGCGCACTGGCATTCAAAATGGCCATACTCATGATAGGCTGTGAGATGGAGAGTGCCACCTATATAATTGTGTGTAGAGTCATTGCTGCCAGAGCACACTGAAAATATTTTATCTGTGTGTTTTCAATATTTACCATGCCATGGGACAGAAATTAAACATGATCCCTGTATTTACATTTTTCCCCTTTTTTCAGACACAATTTGGAGCAAACTATAAGCATGGGAACTGGTTCTGTACACCGTCCTCGAACCTGCCAGTTAATTAGAGCCTAACCATTGCTGAAGTTTTACTTGTATACAGCACTATTTAGCAGATGGACCTGTATACAGAGTATGTAAACTGTGGAGGACCCATGAACTGTTTTAGATTTACGTGTTCAATAGTCAGCAGTACATGATACTATCATCAATAAAAATTATAAATTTAAAATATTTATGCAATATATAAATAACAGAATGTTAATGTCATATCGTTTGGTTTTAAAACTTTTAACCATTTATTCAGGTAAGGATACCAACTTGAAAGAACATTAATATTGGGCTTGTTTGAAGTTCAGTGTACAAACATCATGCAAAGATACCCAGAAACGGGCGATTCTCATTCATCCCAAGCCTGGATGGTAAATTAGTCCCAAAGAAGCACCTCCAAACACTAGGATTGATACCAACACACTCAGTATATCACATAATTGCATATTACGTACCACATCACCAATTTATACGATGTTTCTTAAGATGTATATGATTAATATCTGCTGTTAATATATTGTAAGAAGAATTCAATATGAAATTAAGTTAGCACTACCTATTTGTTTCACACCAGCATGTACACTGTCTTTCTCACACTCAGTTATTACCATACACCACTCTGTTATAGCTTCATCGTGGCAGGTATGGAGCACATAAAAATACCAGGTTGTGGATGTAGGGGAACTGAGCAGTGTATGGTGCTGATGTAGCAATAAAACAAACTGAGTGAGTTTAGGAAATAGAAAAAACTGTTTTAGGCTGTTAGGCTGTTACTCTGTATCCCTAAACATTACACAACTGCAAATAGCATATGTCGAAATCACCCACTTCGGCCTAACTTGGCATTCAGTGGGATGCGTAATAAGATATCCAGAAAAGCATGTTTACTCGTAAAATCGGGCAAAACTTAGAAAAATACTGAATAGCTGCTGAAAACAATAGATCAGACTATAGATGGCAAATTAGGTCGCTCACCTGGCATGAAATGCATGTGCTGCCTACAGGCACAAGGGGTCATCTCAAAGATATTTTGTGCTTTTTCATGTGTGTTGACTATGTCTCATCTATTGATTAACATCTTACGTGTCTTTCTTTCATAAAGTTTATGTTGACTCAAAATGAGGTATGTAAAAGAGTATGATAACTGATAACCATAGAAACGCATCGTATTAAATGTCTCAAAATAGAACAACAGGACTGGATATTATTTGTAAATTGTTATGACATGCCGTGTACTTCCCCAGTATAATTGCCCTAAAGGATTATCTTATCTTAGCTGATATCTCTATCCCCCAGCCCGACCCCAACGATCGTCTGCGACACCCGTCCAGGTTTTGCTTTGGGGACGACCCCTCCTATCTGTTTCTTTTTATAGTGACAGTGAGACTCCATGGCAGCTACATCCTTAATAGTTTCAGCATGAAAGTTATTATTTTTTATGTCAGCTATCGTTTATAATGAAGCTACGTCTAATTTCAAATTGGGCATTTCAAAAGTGTCCTTTGTAATACAATATTGTTGCACACTAATTTGCTCATTTCTGCACTAATCTCTCCTCAGTAAAGTCCCTTTTCTACGTTTCCTATCTCCCTACCACTGAGACTGTAGTTAGGCCGAACTTAGTTTAACAGATATTTCACACTTTCACTACATAAATTGTAGAGATAAATGAGAAAATACAGTTTTTTTCTATTTCCGACAGTACTTTAGTTTAGTTTTAGTTTTTAGCAATATTCCAGCAATATCACAGATTGCAGGGGCTTCACAAATTGCACTCATGTGGGGAAATGAACCCGGGTCTCAGCATGACGAGCGTCTTTAACCACTAGGCTACCCCAACGCCCCATATTTAATCAGTGGGTATACACCTTGATTCTGAACCCCAGATTTACATCCACACATCAAGTTCATCCAGTGGCTACCATCACTATCCATGCTATGGACACTATTATACTGTAAATCATTAAATTAAAGCTTAACCAAATTAACGTGAGTTTGGATCCTTGGCTTAATATGAGTCAATGAAATTCAATTAAATTGATGTAAATTGCACTACTTTTGAACACATGACTACTTCGCAAATGATTAAATCAAGACTGTAGACTTAAGTTCCATGATATAGTTTGGTTGAATAATATCATCATAAACATAACTTGACATCGATATGTGATCCAAATCGCCCATGCAATTAAAAGCAGAAATTTAAAAATAAGGCACATTCACACGAGATCATCTGACAAAGTTAACGAGAACAAAGTTGCCATAATGGATAGTTGGAGATAATTGTAACTGCTTGATGAACTTGTGAAAACAAATTGTCCACATTTGACACCAGCCGAGGTGAGATGCACCAATCAGTTACATTGTTACTTGTGAGCATCGCTATGTGATTCTCTTCCCTTCACATGAAATTTACCATCATTGTCAAAATAAAAACGCACTGCTTTATTAATCAATGTGAGGGGCTCTCCAATTTTCCCCCTTTAAATTCATAACTGAATTAATTTCATGATTTATTTCAACAGGAAGAAGGAAATTAGCAACATCAGCATGAATAGATTCCACAAACTGTACCCACATACTCTACTTCTTAAATTCTTAACTGACATCTTCTAGTAGCATCTTTCATACTGATACGATACAGTAATTCATATCAACGAAAGAAAACAGGGTTCTATAACAGTGCATGCAAGTGTTAGCATAACTGAACCCAAACAAATCCTAACAGCAAAGCGATGGGTGAACCTCTGCATGCCAGTAGCATGACTGCAGATATTACTCCAATGACCAGACCCAATCCAAACAATGCTGAAAGCTGGGGGGGATTTATCGCGATGCATCAACAATGTCTGGTCATGGAACTCACCCATTTTTCTTCTTAAGTTTGACTGATCTGGGCGAGACGATGACAGCGTTTTCCAGGTCTTCTGCTGGATCCTGGGGCACTGGTTTCCTCATCATGTAGATGGCGGACTGAGTGGCTCTAGCGGGGATCGGGTCTGGAATTGAAACAGTTGTAGTGAAAGGCATATCCCAGATATCATGGTAGAAACAGTTGTAGGGAAAGGCATATCCCAGATATCATGGTAGAAACAGTTGTAGGGAAAGGCATATCCCGGATATCATGGTGGAAATAGTTGTAGTGAAAGGCATATCCCAGATATCATGGTAGAAACAGTTGTAGGGAAAGGCATATCCCGGATATCATGATGGAAATAGTTGTAGTGAAAGGTATATCCCAGATATCATGGTAGAAACAGTTGTAGGGAAAGGCATATCCCGGATATCATGGTGGAAATAGTTGTAGTGAAAGGCATATCCTGGATATCATGGTAGAAACAGTTGTAGGGAAAGGCATATCCCGGATATCATGGTGGAAATAGTTGTAGTGAAAGGCATATCCCGGATATCATGGTAGAAACAGTTGTAGGGAAAGGCATATCCCAGATATCATGGTAGAAACATTTGTAGTGAAAGGCATATCCCAGATATCATGGTGGAAACATTTGTAGTGAAAGGCATATCCAAAATTTCAGGGTTAAAACAGTTGTATGGGAAAGGCATATCACAGATATCATGGTGGAAACAGTTGAAGATGCCTTTTGCATTTTAGGCATATCCTAAAAGTCATGGTTCAAACAGAAAATGACTCAACTCAAACTGCAGTGCCTTGGACAAATAGGTGACTGGTATCCCCACTTAGTTTAGTATTGATTATATTAATTGTGCACCCATCAACTCACCTGAGCTGTCGACATGTTCATGCAGAATGGTGAGATCTAGCGGTGGGACAAAGGGCTTCCTGACATTGACCGGTGAGTGGTCAGGGGAGTTGACCTGACTTGGCTTCAATTGTTTGTCCAGGTGGATGTCTAGGAAGGCTATCCTCGACTTAAACTGGTTGTTGTGATTCATATCTTCATCTTCGTCTGACGAGGAGTTGGCCTGCTGGCGAGGCTTCAGAGGTTGCTTCCTGGGCACAGGCATGGGACGAGGGCGGGGATCCACTGCTTGAGTCTGTCCGAGAGGTTCATCAACTTTTGGCTCTGTATCCTGTAACAGCTCCCCAATCTGTGCATCAAGGCTGTCAAGGTCATGTCCTTCCAGACTGCGGCGGAACTTCCTGCTTGGTGATCGTCTTGGAGGTCCAACTGGCTTCTTGAACTGAAATGTTCCAGTATAAATCAATTTAAACATTAGGTCCATGAAACACTTGCTGATGGTCTATTATCCACACTCAGCAATATTCCAGCTGAATGAAACTGGTTTGCAAAATTAATACAATCTGGACCCGAGAATCCAGTCACCAATGTCATGATGTCGATCTTTGTAACCGGCATATGAAGACAAGCATCAACCAAGTCACAGATCCTGACGATGCAATCCCATTAGGAACTATTAATTGGTGAAGATCAATTCTTATTGAAACACTTACACTTGATCAGTTCACACATTAAGATATTAGTATCTGAAGACAGACAGTGTTCAGATGGACAGTTAATACGAAAAGTAGGACTTACTGAAGACAGGACTTGCGTATCCCGGTCAACACCCATGTCTGAGCTGTCAGAATCCCTGAAACATCACCACAAGGTAAACCAATATAACAGGAAGTAGGCAATGGCTAATTAACAGTGACACAAGACTCATCTTGACATTACATGTATTACAAGACAACACAGTACCTCTCTGGAGACTCCTCTTGTCTCAGCTCAGTTGACTTGGGGGCCTGTGAATGAAACAGAATATCCTCAAGATAATGATCAACAAAAGTTTCTATACAAAGAACATAGTACCAGGATTATCTATTGTTTGATGCTGTATTCAGCATATCCCAGCTGTATGACTGTCAGTAATCAACTCTGGACCTGACAATCTGATGATTGGTACTGAGAGCAACGATCAGGGTTAGATGGCAGTCAATACACCTGATCAACAAGTCTGACCATCCAATCAACTAAGTAACCTCTCACAACCACCACAGGTTGCAATTGGTAGTGAGCAATTCTAACCTGTAATACCAACAGGTCTTCTGGTACTAACAGTGACTGCGTGAATATGTCAGCAATATTTCAGTCATATAACTGTAGCCTGGGCAGACAACTGTTTCTTAAATTACCTTGGAAATGATGATGCTCTTGTTTTCAAAGAAGTCAAACACTGCTGATGTTGGCCTCTGTTTGCCTGGACGTGTCTGGGATCCGTTGACATCATCCTCCTTAATGTGGGCCTCAAACACAGAGATTCTGTCCTTCACAGCTGGCGCCGGCTCACTGTCAGATCTGCTGTGGGTGTTACAAGGTAAGGATACTCCGGGTTATCATACATTAGGGTACTAAGAAGTATGTACATGCACAAAAGACAAATGTTGTGCTATTATCAATCCTTTTGATTTCATGAAGAGCAATTACCCACAAACAGTACTCAATTTGTCATCATGCTGCTTACATGTTAGGAATAGAGGCTACATATATACATTACATATTTTGGGACTACTGTCACTGGCCAGATGTCTCTAGAACTAACCTCTCAGAGTTGTCGCTGTTCAAAGATGCCACATTGCCATCAGAGCCTGAAACAAAATGTCAACGTTCTTTATAGTTCCAGAAAAGATATTTCACATGATTACAAGTCTGATGGGGGTCACAAAGAGAATGTGTGTTTGTGTGTGTTGATGATGTGTGAGAGTGTGTGTGCGTGAGGATGGAGTGTGTTGTGGCAGTGGCAGTGGCATGGCGTGTTGGGAAGTATGCATGCACCATGAGAGTGGCTGTGGCTGTGTGTGTGCATGCGCGCGTGTGTGTGCATGCATGGCTGTGGCTGCGTGTTTTGATGAGGGTCTGGCAAGACAAGGCAATTAAGCTCTCAGATCACCTCCTCCCTGCCATTAACCACAGCTGTGATATTACCTGTGGAGCCGCTGGTGCTGTGGGAGTTGACCTCCTTCTGGGGGCTGACACTGAGACGGTCTCCGAAGATGTGCTGCACGATGCTCTGACTGATAGTCTTCTCCACCAGCCTGCAAGAGCAACAGACTTGTAGCTGGAACTTACCTTACCTACAGTCACGTGAAACATTTATCATGGAACAGGTTGACAAACCAATAAGGAAGACAAGATTGGGAAACACAGGACTATTTTTTCACATCCTGCACATCATAAGGGGTCTTTCCAAAATCTGTGAATTCAATACCAACTAAGCTTCAATACACTGTACAAACTGAACACTGTCTTACATCAGGGCTTTACATGACGAGGTGATTCCTGCATATTTTGTAAACGACTCTCAAAATATTATCATTCGAGTCAAGCTTGAAGCAAGTTTTATGGGTGGCCCTCACAATTCAGTTCAATAAAATCAATTTGATCAGCAAAAAATGATATTGTGAGATGATAGTTTTTACAGAGCTTTTACAGAGCTGTAAGATTGTTCCAGAGAACTCAAAGGAGACAGCAATCCTGGCTGTTTGAATTGAACAATGCTGTAGTTTCATTTGGTGGTGTGAGTTACACAGTTACATACTGAGAATGAGTAACACAAAGAAATATTTGATTACATAACAGATGGAGATAAATGTTTCCAGTGAGTGAGTTCATATTTATCGTCACATCGGGAATATTTCAGTCATATCGTGATCGTGACCAGAAATGTTTCCAGAACTGACTGTACTTACTCATGAGTCCGAGCTGTCACTACCGGAGATTCAATAATGCTATGACCCTCACTGAAACAGAAGGCCAAAGACACTTTTACAAATACGTGAAATTTAGTCATAATTTGCTACTTTGAGAGGCATTTCTTAGAAGTTGAGAAAGTTCTGATGAGAAAGCAAGTTGTCAAGAGTAAAAAAATACATACCAATGCATTGCTTTTATTTAAGAAATGCAGTTAGCTCTACCCCCATGTATAGTGCAATAAAGTAGAACTATTATTCCATCAAAACCACGAGGACGTAAACAAGACCATTGACCCAGTGCACACAGCAACAGCAAGGTAAGTTCAATCCTGGTCAGCACCTTCAAATTTCTGTGAGTGAGTGGTGAGTAAGTATGGTTTTACGCTGCTTTTAGCAATATTCCAGCAATATCACAGCGGGTGACACCAGATATTGGCTTCACACATTGTACCCATGTGGGGAATCGAACCCAGGTCTTTGGCATGACAAGCAAATGCTTTACCACTAGGCTACCCCACCGCACCTAATCATATTGAGTCGGCCAGTACTTGTATCAACCCAGAGATATCAGCAAATTACAGGTGTACCTGTCTGTGATGAAGGGTGAAGCACTCCTGTCAGGGTAGTCCTCTGCATCATGGACATACGGCCCCTGTATACCTGACAGGTGAGGTCGGCCTCCTGAGGAGGGAATGATAGGGGAGGTGTCACTGAGGTCCATCTCCTCCATCTCCTGGTACTGACTGCTGTCATAGCTCTTCATACTAGTCTGCAAAACAGGGACACCATTGACACACCACAACCAAGGATTCTTTCTGCACAGTTCCTGATGAATGCCTACATGCAGGATATCCAAATTTTGGATTCTAACCCTTCATCAAAGGAGCACAACAGCGAAGTTTCTGCAACCCAACCACCCATACTGACGTATCATTTTCGCCATTTTGAGTGGGCATCCCCAGACAACTTCAGGACCAATCTGTATTCTTTCTTAGCACCCTCATATATGACTGAACAGTTACATGAAAGGCCATATTTTCTTCAGTACAATCAAGGTTTAAACTAAGATTGTCACCGTCTCTGGCTGGATTTAATACACATTCCCCTCTGTCCTTTTCTCTTACATTAGCATGCTTATTAAGGTTAAAATGCCTACATTTCTAGGGGAAGACAAGTTGAGAGAATCATCAGCAGATGCAGAGATCTTGGGAGGAGGCGGCCGAGGTGGGGCTGACATCTTGTACCGCTTCTCCTGGAACACAATGGAAAGTGTGAGTGACAGCCACAACACAGCTTTGATTTCTGCACATTCCAACAATGATTTGACTTCCTATTAGTAGTTATCAAGTTTCAACGATGAAAGAAAATTATACACAATGAATCATCCAGGAAATTACTCATTTCTGCTGCACAAAAGTATCCCAGCACCATGTGAGGTTGTAGGAATCAACTGATGTTTTCCTTGCTTTGTTGACCACTAGATGGTCACTTTTGTCTGTTAGACTGGATACCTGTTTTGTTATGTAATACATGCCATTATATATCCATAAACACAAATCCAATATATGAAAACATTAACGCTTGAATCCATTCAATTTAAATGACTGCACAGCTCTTATCAAAGTTCATTCAACCTATCTGTTACCATTGACATACTTGATTACAGACCTAACACAGATATCTGTCCCAGTTCACAGACAAAACTGTTAAGCACTGTGATAACGGAGACCTCTGAATGGCTAACATGTTACAGTGACATCATGTATGTACTTACCCATGAGGCAATAGGCGAATCTTCATGTGACTGCTTAAAGATTGTGTTGTACTCTGCGATTAATTTGAACACGATCTGGTTTGTGGTACCTTGGTTGCGGAGCCCAGAGATCCCATCACCACACCTGAAATGAGGAAACAGACATCTTAGAGGATGTTGGAAACATCGCTCTCACTTCTATTAACATCTGTTTGCTTAGTGGACATATAACGGGATTCAGTATTTCGGCATAAGACTTACTTGAAAAGGTTTGGTCCAAACACAATGGCCAGAGCCATGGGGGACATCTTGTTGTCTTTCTCATGGTGTGTTACAACCACCAGGAACTGGCACAGGAACTTGAGGAGGTTGTAGTTCTCAGTGGGCAGCTCTTTCAGCTTATCCTTCAGATGCTGGACTATATGGTCCTTGTTGCCTGGAGAGATGCATGTGAGGGAGTATGGTTTTATGACACTTTAAGCAATATGCTGGTGACAGTCAGGAACACTGTAAACTGGCTTTGTTGCCAGAATCAAACTGAAGCATTCAACGTAACAAGTAGCTGCTTTAGTCACTAAGCTACCCCTCCAGGCTAATATATGGGTAGGATACGGCAACAACCATGGCTGCACAAAGCTGCACCACAAATGCCGGACTACATTAGAACCTCTCAAAAAATGTCTTTAAAAAATAGAAAGAAAGATAACAAATTTTTGAATTCATATCCAGAGCTCCAGATAAGATTTAGCTTATGTGGGTACTGTACCCACTGTATTTTTTTGGAGTGGGTATTATGAATGTTGAGTGGGTATTTCATTTTCCGTTAACCACTGCTTTCAAATATGTGCGTATTTCAGTCATTTTACTCACCTAAGTATTACGTCATTGAGTAAGTTTACTAAGCAGGTATGTTCTGCATTATGTCATACCTAATCAAAACCAACTTGAATATAATGGAAATGATTTCATAGAAAATCACTCATCCTACACTGACAGTACAACACTTGTCCTATACTAACAGTACAACTTGACAGCAATCGATGTCTTTTTCATTACGCAAGCGATTTTTATAAATATATTCCGTATACATTTGTTTTAAACTTTTAGCGTATCTAACATTTTAAATGCGTAATTAGTACGCAACAATTATTTTTCAATGCGTAATTGGAAATTTTCTATGCATATTTTACCCGGATACGCAGCTTATCTGGGCCTCTGTCATATCCTAACACGACCACTTGCATCCTATCCCCCTTTTAGTTCCAACCGACCCATCCGAACAAACACACAAGAACAGCAATATCAAAGACAACTATAACAGTGTTACCTTCTTGTATATTCACAAAATCCTGCGTCATGTGCAGAGGTATGACAGTGTCAGGTAGTTCCCGCAGAAACATCTTTAACAAACCAGCCACAGCCATCACATCACAATCTTCCTCAATGTCTGTGTCCCAGTGCTGGTCGAAGGAGTACCGCAGCTTCTCCAGGACACGAGCATTTCCATTGACCCGGAAAATACCCTCCTGGTCCATACCTAAACAGAATAGGAGTCTTTTTGTCCCAGTTGCATAGATCAGTTTGCTAATTGCTTAATGGCTACGGACTGTAAATATTCATGAGTGGACCAAACACTTCAGTGAATCATTTCTTGAGCAAGGTTCCAAGGCTTCAAAAATGCTTACACGCAATCCACCAAGTCACCAAACCCTCTTACAAGCAGCATAGGTTGCTGGGGATAGACTCTAATCTGGAACCCCCACGGGCCATCATGATAGTGTTCCCCTATTTAAAATGTTCCAATATGCTATTACCATCTTACATATCAAACATTCTTCTCCTTGAAATCCTGTACCTCCAAGACATTTTAGCAAGACAGCTGTCATTATGCTGTATCAGTGAGTGAGTTAGTGAGATAAAATTTTACATCGCAACGGTCACAGGTAATTCGCGGACAAGACCCTTGATATTATATTTGTGTACAGATAACACCTAAACTGTCATATCTGGAGATACACATCCCTTTTACACTTGATAATGAAAATTCTAAAACTGAAGACGCCCAAAGCCTCTTTTCTGACCTGAACTATCAGGTGGACAGATAAGACATATCTTACCATATCTGGAGATAAAGTCACATGTCTTCTTCACAATGGAAGGAACAAGACAGTTTGGAGACCTCTTGACGAGAACCTCCAGTGGGGCACCAAATGTCTTGTTGACATTGTTGCTTGGGACCAGCTTTCTCCTGGATGCTGGGCTCAGAAGTTTCTTGACACGATCCATCGGGACACCAGTTGCATCGGGCCCCTTTGGAGTTACCTGCAACATCAACATGGCTATGTGTTAAGTCCGATACAATATTACACACACTAATAATTTTATGCAATATTCACAAGTATTGTGAACGCAAAACAACCAGAAATGGGCATGAAGAAAAAATGCTTTAACAACTAGATTACTCCATCCCCAATGATCAATGTACTGTACACCTATAGCACTGTATTTGATAATACTGATTAAACTCGTTGAAGCTGCTATGAACAGTGTGTTGCGTGTGTCACGTGTGTCACATGTGGGAGGAAAGCCTGAAGTAATGAATGACTCAGTTTAACAACACTGAAAAACATGAGCACGAGTGTGCTGACAACGGTAAAACCAGTATATTTCTGGAGTGATAGTCTACACCGTTCAGAAAGGGTTAGTTGGTAGTTGGAGATCAGTGTACATCCAAGAGCTAGCTCCATCAGTAAATGTAAGCAAAAGATGAAACAGAACAGTCACATTTATGATTCAGCTCACAAGGACAACAATGACAAAGCTTAAAACCTGTGAAAGCATGTATGCTCTAGAACAAACATTGGTGAGAGATAGTAGCTGATATACATTCATGAAGAAACAGGTACATGTGAATGAACATGTAATAGAATATGATGAGTAGAAGCTAGTTGGAACAATTCAACCTGGATGAATATTGCTGTGTATTTAACATAAAAACTATCTTATCTGCTTTTCACTAACACAAATTTCTGCAAGTCATAGCACTGAGGAATGATGCTTTGGCCGTAGATTGAGGTTTAAAAGAGTGATGAAATCAGTCTGAAGTTATATTTTTACTACAGGCAGATTGGCATGACAAAGATAGTGACTTGACAATTTTCTGCTACACTATTGGAATACATGGAATACATCAGACACCCTCAAAGTCGTGGACGTTTTTAACATTCAAACCTTCGTCAAGTACGGCTGCATATGTGACAGATTTACTTTTCATGCAATCATGCAGGAAAAGTGCCATGGCTTTCTGACATTTGAACTTTTGTCATTTAAAGTCAGATAAGAATTGTTATAAAAATCTGATAGATTAACTTTTCATGAAGTGATGCTGGAAAAAATGACCCTCCTTTTAGCCTTTTGAACTATTTTCATTAAACATGAGTCTAACAGACAAATACTGCTTTCAAACTAAACAAACATGGCAGTGCAACATGATAATTATCATAAGCTTTAGTCATCCTAAAGTATTCGAGAATCAACAGCTTGCCTGCTGGGAAATTTGGTTTCCACACATAGTGTCAAGAATGAAATGTTTGCTTTCACTTAACTGTTTGCTTATTTACTTGGTACTGCTAAACACTATGATTATCTTCTGTCAATATTTTGAGGTCACACAACCACTGACTCTAGAGAAACAGCCATACTAGAGAAACAGCCATGTATCATCACTATCAACAGACAGGTCCTTCAACCAACACTGTGTGTCTGGGAGCAGGCTAACACTCTAGGACAATTGTACAACTCGTATAACCAATGATAAGTCTGGGCAGACAGTGGGTAGCTAGGTTGGTCTGGACAGACAGTGGGTAGCTAGGTGGGTCAGGAGAGACAGTGGGTAGTTAGATAGGTCTGGGCAGACAGTGGGTAGCTGGGTGGGTCTGGGAGCAGGTGGGTGGGTCTGGACAGTGGGTAGCTGGGTGGGTCAGGACAGACAGTGGGTAGCTAGGTGGGTCAGGACAGACAGTGGGTAGCTAGGTGGGTCTGGACAGACAGTGGGTAGCTAGGTGGGTCAGGACAGAAAGTGGGTAGCTAGGTGGGTCAGGACAGACAGTGGGTAGCCAGGTGGGTCAGGACAGACAGTGGGTAGCTAGGTGGGTCTGGACAGAGACAGACAGGGTAGCTAGGTGGGTCTGGACAGAGTGTGGATAGCTAGGTAGCTACAGTGGGTCTGGACAGACAGTGGGACAGAAAGTGGGTTAAGTGGGTGACAGTGGGGTGGGTCTGGTCTGGACAAACAGTGGGTACCTAGGTGGGTCAGGACAGACAGAAAGTGGGTAGCTAGGTGGGTCTGGACAGACAGCTGGGGTCAGGACAGAAATTGGGTAGCTAGGTAGGTGGGTCAGGACAGACAGTGGGTTGTGAGGTGGGTCTGGACAGACTGGGGTTTGGACAGACAGTGAGGTGGGTCTGTCTGGACAGTGGGTAGCCAGGGGTTGGACAGATGTGGGTGAGAGATACAAGATAAGCTGCGTGGGTCTGCAGTAAATTAAGCAAATATTTATGTGGACAGAAAACTCAATTACCTATTAAAGTCTATTGCATTCCTATTAAGTCTATTGCATATGCGTACGCTTGAATTTTTGTAAATACTCAATAAATTTGATCTTACATGTGTACACACAAAAATAGATAAAATAGCTGAGGTATATTGAGAGGTTCTATTTCAGCACATGAACTTTGCAACTTGCAGTCTTTCTTATCATTTCTCATATTACAGATCAAATATATATAACAAACGTGTAAACCAACATTTAAACGTTATTATTTTTTACAATTAATGGAAAATGGCAAAATACCGAATTGAGTTTGAGTGAGGCTATGTTCATCACTGTGCTACAATGTAGCTAGTCAACATAAAATACAACAATTAAACTGTCCAACCACCCACCCTTCTCAGTTCATATAACATACTACTTATGTTTCCATATTCAGCTATGAATTTCATGGCTTGACAACCTTCGCATTGCCAAGTAAAGTATGAAAAATATGAATATTCCTCACCATAAAAACTGCTATACTTGCTGTCATTTGTGTGGTCGCAAATTTCAACCATTAGAAAAGATTTGGCATTTGCAGTTACGTTAAGATCAGAAAGTACTCATATGTCTTAAGTCAATCTTAAAATGACAATGCTTTCATCTTAACCACAAAGAACATAAAGAACATAACAGTTTTTTTCTTTTCTAAATGGCCAAGCTGTATTGCAAGTTATTACTGAATTGCACTTCAGTATGCAGAATGAGGTAATGTTTGTAAATGCTTTTAGCAACATTGGAGTGAGTGGGTGAGTGAGTATTACAGCTTTATGATGGCGGTCTGGAAATATATTGAGTCTGGACCAGACAATCAAGTGATCAACAGCATGAGCATTGATCTGCGCAATTGGGAACCGATGACATTCGTCAACCAAGCCAGCGAGCCTGACCACCCAATCCCATTAGTCGCCTCTTACGACAAGCATGGGTTACTGAAGATTCATTCTAACCCTTCACGGGTAAGCAACATTGGAGCAATATCAAAGTGGGGTACAAGGAATTGGCATCACACAATTTACCTTTTTGGTTTTTTGAGTTTTCACGTTGAGAGTCTGAATGCACTAACCTCTAGGCCACCCCAATCTCCAGTAAACAGAGAAAATACTGGCCACACAAATATGTAGTGAGTATGGTTTTCTGCTGTTCTTATCAATATTTAAGTTTCAGCCATTTTACGCATGTGAGGAATCAAACCAGATATACAGTGTGATGAGCAAACACTTTAACCACAAGGCCACCCAATCACCCTGATAAATAAATAATATAAACATTGTATTAAATTTTTTAAAAGTAATAATAAAATCATTACTTGAAAACACAAAACAATGTTTTTTTAAGTATTTCAAAAACAACTGATCTAATATAGACTTTGTCCTTATCTGCCATGGAACCTCAGCAAGTTATATTCCAAATTCTTTAATATAAATGTTAAAATGAACAACACCCTGTACACATCTTAAAACAGAAAACACTTCATCAATCTTCAAATGTCAGGGGCTGTCATCATCATATTTCATTCTTTCAAAAAACCGTCCCCACTATTAAATTGTAGACAAATGAGTGAGTGAGTTTAGTTTTACGCCACACCCAGCAATATTCCAGCTATATGGTGGCGGTCTGGATATAAATGAGTCTGGACCAGACAATCCAGTGATCAACAGCATGAGCATCGATCTGCGCAATTGGGAACTGATGACATGTGTCAACAAAGTCAGCGAGCCTGACCACCTGATCCTGTTAGTCGCCTCTTACGACAAACATAGTCGCCTTTTGTGGCAAGCATGGGATGTGTAGACAAATATGAGATCTATGAGGTTAATAGACCTCATTTTATCAAGGGATAACTGGATGTTAGCTCCAAGCTTTCTACATTTAAGTAACTGTAGAAAAACACATTCACCTTTATCCTACGATAGCTGTTCAGGAGGGGAGCACAGGCCAAAATCTTGTCGGGTATAATGAACTTCATAATGTGGTGGCAGTGATGGAAGCAGTCCAAATGCCAGACTGTGTTTTATATATCCTACTGTTGTTGTTACATAACCACCAACTACTCACTTCTCACCAGACCCACAGCAAGGAAGCCCTCCTTGACATAAGATACACTGCCCGTTAATAACAAGCTCACAATTAACTTCCTACAAGTCTTTTTTTAACTGAAGGGAGTTGAAACAACATCTTGGGAGAGGAAGGCAAGCTCTTGAGGGTGAGTAGGCCTGGAGAAGTTGGGGTCAGATGAAAGGGGCTGAGATGAAGCAAGTGGGTGCCAGAAAGGGGGGGGGATTGGGGGTAGGGCTGAGTTGTAGGGACCATGGGGATGCAGGGGATGGGATGGAGCAAAGAAGGTAAGTACTGTGTATGCTCTCTGAGCTTAATTTGACCAGTGAATAACAATAACTCAAATAGGTTTACCAGGGCTCGATTTAAGAGATGTTAACCCACTTGCACCAGGTGCAACCTAAGATAAAAACCTAGTCACACCAGTCAAATTCCAGTTGCACTGTTTTTATTGCAATATGTAATATCAGAAATATGCTACTGAATTATTTAGATGTTTTATTCAGAAGTTTACCCACACATAAATTGACTTGCACCTGGTGCAAGTTAGACTAACTTGGTTGCACTTTGTAATATTGGGTTGCACCAGTGCAAGTAACAACGCACTAAATCGAGCCCGGTTTACATATTATATGTTTCATAACACACCAGTTCCTCAGCTTCAGTGGTGTC